CTTCTCAGCCATGTGAGGACACAGCTTTCGACCCCTCCAGAGGATGCACCCTATCAGATGCCAAATGCTGATGCCTTGTTCTTGGACTTCCAGCCTTTGTTCATAAACTATGAGAAAGAAATTTTTCTTCTTTATAAATTTCCCAGTCTCAGATACTCTGTTATAGCAGCACAAAAAGGACTAAGATGGCCCCTGATTTACTTTCCAACTCTCTTTCCTACCACTTTTTTTTTTTTTTACATCTAACTGTTGTGTTTCAGGCAGTCCACTTGTTGTCCAAATGACTATTTCTCCAAGTTTTTTGTGCTAGTATCTTTCTCTGGGATGCTCCAATTTCACATGTTTAAAATCTCCAATATTATTTACGACTCAGTTTAAAGTATCATAAAGCCTCCTATGATTGCCTTAATTTGACTTTCTTTCCTTCCTTTACTAGCGCTTTGTATCTCTTTTGTGTTTTTTCACATACCATGTATAGTAGTACATATTTTTAGCACTATTAACTTGTGTTATCCATTTTACTAGATTATGAACTACAGTTGATGACCTTTACTGGATTATGAGTACATACAATGTATTTGTTTTTGTGTGCTTCATACTATTCAAAGCCACAATACATAGTTTCTAAAGTAAGAAATTTACCCTATAATAATTGCTACAGTAGAAATTTGTATAGAAACCTAGAAGCTTCTGTGTTTGAAAGACCAGAAATGGGATACCCTTTTGAGGAGAGGAATCATTTGATACAGCAAGGTCTTCTCAAAGGAGAAAACTTTAGCACTATGCTTTTAAAAAGTACTTTCATACAGATAGTAAGAAGGAAGAAACTAGTGGGCAGAGGATAGAGAAGGTAAAAAAAAAAATGATATACAGAAGATAGGTGCAATGGCACAGAGGCACCAAAAAAGTTTATTTAGGGAATTAGAGTTACTGGTATACCTACAATGCCTAGAAGGACAGTTACAACATTCAGTTGAAGTTTAGGGTTAGTTCATTAAGGGTATTGTAGGTCATGCTAAGCAATTTCTATCCTGTAGATCAGCAATTACCTTTATAAGAATGAGGACCTCATTAAATATAAAAAAATTGTGCCTGAAGTAACATTTTTTAGTTGATTGAGAAAATAATATCCACATACTACACCATGAATTCAATAGAACTTCAATTTTCTATTTTTCTAATCCCCAAAGCCTGTACATAAACAAAAATTACATATATACACATACATATCTCATTTTAAAATTCAGTTTTTAATTTTAGCATATTGATTACTGAATTACTTATAAAAACTGCTCTCCCCCCCCATAACTTCTACCAGTCTGGATGACTTATAAAGTACTGCTATAAGGCATTTCGAGGCATTGGAACAGATTATGTAGAAACATGACCAAATTGCAGTTTAAATAATATGCTGGCAGCAGTTATGGATCAGAGTTAGAATAAGATGAGAATGGATAAAAAAGGTTCAGTTAGGAGGCTGATGCAAACTCCCAGTTATCTCTCAGAATCTATTATTTTGTCTTGTACACATCTGCCCAACTATAGACTTTATTTTCCACCTTCATTATAGCTATGTATGGCTATGTGAGTAAAGTCTCACCAATATGCATATATTATATGTGCACCTTTCATTCCACTTGATTAATATCTCTCCTTCCAGCCCTGATTTATCTTTACCCTTCTCTGTCGTGGGCGCAGAGATGAGCCAGAGACATAGCTTTGACTGTACAAATTAGTAAAAAGTTCTAGGATAGGGGTTCTTTAGGGGGGTTCCTAGATCCCTAAGAGGGGGTGTCTTAAACTAACCCTTAACTGAAACTTAACATTTTCCTTCAGTTATGAATATAGGCATAAATCATAGTAGTATTTACTATATCTGTGATTTTTCCCCCAGCAACAAAAATCAGATATTTTCATATTTACTGTCTTTTATTATATTACTAATATTTACTGTAGTTTCAAGGAAGTGATGTATCTCTGAACAACTAACAGTCATTATTTCCTTGAAACTACAAGTAAATATTAGGCTGTTAGATGTTATTATAAATGTGTTAAAACCCACACATATTGCCACATCATAAATTTGAATTTCTACTAACCATATGTCAAAATTGTTTTTTAATCCTATGTATTTTAACTTATGTACTAAAAACTTTATTACTGGATTTACTAGATTTATAAAAGTGTCTATGACATAAAAATGGTTACAAATCCCTACTCTGGAGGAAAAGAGCAAAATGACTAAAGGATGGTGGGTTTGTAAAGGAATTCATGGAACAGGCACACCCTGCTAGCTTGGACTACTCACCTTTCACCTATATATAAAAGAAATACTTATTTAAACCACTATACTTTTCAGTCTTTTTGTTAGAACAGCTTAGACTTTACTCTTAGGAAATTTATTAAAATAGTTGCAGGAATGATGATGATTTCTAAATTAAAGCAAGGGCAATTAAAATGGAAAGAAAAGAAAAATAAGGAAATTTTAAAGAGGTAGAATTTACAAGAGTTGGTGATCTATTTGCTATATGACTTGGGGTAGAAGGAAAGCAAGGAAAACTCTCAGGTTTCTAGTATGGGTGACTACATAACGAGGTATAAAGTCAAGATAAAGATTAAGAAAAGACAGGCAAGTCTGTGAATTAAGATGATGAATTTGGTTTTAGAAATGTTAGGTTAGAAAAGCCTTTGATACTTATTGAGGAAAAAGGTACAAGAGACAGAAATATACAATTGGAAACCCAGGTGAATATGAGTCAGGCTAGAGAGAAATTTGAATGTCAGTGGCATACAGATTGTATCTGAATCTAATGGTATATTAGAAATGAGCTAGGGCGCATGTATAGAGTGAACTGGCCCCTTTGCTAGATGAACAAAGCTATCCCTTTGAATTCATAGGTAACTCCTTTGAATTTAAATATAATTAATATTTTACTTTCTTTTGTTCTAAATATGCCCATGCTTTAGGCTTCAAAGGATAAGATGTTAGACTAACAATTCTGTGATTAAATTCCTGTTTATTTTCTATCTCAGCCATTCGGAATTTTAACTTCTTTCCTCTAAACATGTTTCTTGAAAACTTTTATATCATCTTAATCTTCATATGGAAACTATCCCTAATATTTGGTTGTTATTTATTTATTTACTTTTCAGAGACAGAGTCTTGCTCTGTTGCCATGGATGAAGTGCAGTGGGGTAATTATAGCTCACTGCAGGGGTCCTCAAACTTTTTAAACGGGGGTCCAGTTCACTGTCCCTCAGATCGTTGGAGGGCCAGACTGCAAACCCTGGGACGAGTCAGCTGCTAAGCAGGACAGGCAGCGGTGGCAAAAACACCGGCGGGCTGGATAAATGTCCTCAGAGGGCTACATATGACCCGCAGGCCATAGTTTGAGGATGCCTGGCTCACTGCATCATCCTCAAACTCCTAGCTTCAGGGATCCTCCTGCCTTAGCCTCCTCAAAGTAGTAGGATTACAGGTGTGAGCCACTGTTCCTGGACAACATTTGTTTTATTTTGTTTGTTTTGTTTTTCTTCTGTCATAATATTTGTTTTTTTTTGTTTTTAAGAGACAGAGTCTCACTTTGTCGGCCTCAGTAGAGTGCTGTCGCATCACAGCTCACAGCAACCTCCAACTCTTGGGCTTAGGCGATTCTCTTGTCTCAGCTTCCCAAGTAGGTGGAACTACAGGTGCCTGCCACAACTCTCGGCTATTTTTTAGTTGAAGTTTGGCCGGGCTGGGTTCAAACCTGCCACCCTCAGTATATGGGGCCAGCGCCCTACCCACTGAGCCACAGGCATCGCCCAATATTTGGTTATTTTAATGGTATTTTTTTGAACCATCCTACAGTGTAAAGAAAATATTTTCTATTTTGTTTCTATAACTTCTGTATCATATTGACTGCTGCGAGAAATCACGTTGAGAGAGTTTTCAAGAGTTAATTCCCTTAAGTGATAATTTCAACATATTAAAAGGTGTAGTCTGGATTATTTTTTCTTGAATATACTTGCCCAAGTATACTCACAGCCTCACATAATATTTCTAAGCTAGTTTACCCCCATTAGTTTAACATTCCTTTACCCACTAAAACTTTAAAATTGGGGATTTCAAATATACTGTCTTCTACAATATCTCTGAAAAACAAGACAAACCCTGGTACAAAATCTTGGTAATGGTATTTACATGTCTTTATTGAGAAAGACCCATCTTTAAGTTAGTTCTTACTTCTGACAAAAATCCTGTTATTCTTGGTTTACTAATAAAATTAGAGTCAGTAAAACAGTTTCAAACTTCCTTTATTATTAATACAGAGTACACAAACTATTTCTGAAGAGGATATTTTTTGTTCCAAGATATTTTAAAGATAAGATTAACAGATAAATCATTTATGTCTTTTATTTTCCAATAAGTTTTATAAGGTCATTAGTCATTATTAAATTTTTAATGATCAGATCTATAATCTGTGCTATCTAAAGTTATATATGGTACTGTAAATATTATACACAGTAATATTTGAGCTGTTTTAAAAAAGATGTTGTAGAAGAAAGCTTATTTATGCCTATAGATAGAATGATGACATCTCTTAGTAAGTTTTAAAGTTTTAATCTGTCATACCATATGATTTTAAAAGATGGGAAAACAGGTACATTAAATGAATAGCAATTTAAAAGAAGATTTTTCATTTCTTAGATTTCAGCATCATAAATTTTAATTTTTCATCATAAAAGAATTTATTTCTCAGCAGGCTCAAGAAAAAAATTTTAAACTAATAGAGATAAAATACAATACGTAAAATGTCTCATTAGAATGAGTTTCACTCTAAGTGGGAACAAATCCACACTTATCTGATTTTTAGCATTTAAATATTTGAAATAAAGCCTATGCTTTATTGCAGAATTATCACTTTAACAAAATACTCACAGTTATAATACACTATCAAAATGTACATAAATGGCAGCCATGTAATTTGTATGTTTAACAAGTTAAATATATGCATTTTTTAATCTCCTGATGAACCACCTTTAATATCAATATTAAGGAATTCTTTAATTTTATCATACAATACCAACACCAAAGCACCCCCTGTACCACGAAGGATATTGGAGAAGGCACCACGAAAAAACGCACCGATTCCCTCATGTTGGTATATCTTCATAAAGCAGTCTATGGTTCCTTTATATTGCCGTTCAGCCTCACCACTCTATATAAAAAAGACAAATAATTTTCCATTATCTTAAGATCATTTATCTTGTAATAGTTTTCTATCAGCTGTAAAGACAGATAGTATAAACACTGTGTGGAGCAACACTGTTCAGTTAATGGGCATGTGCTGACTATTATACCTAGTGGTTGGTGAATGTAACTTTCACCACATAATACTAGGCTTAATAAATGTCAAAGGATGTCATATCATAGACTATGATTTATCCTTTCACCACACTGCAATTAAGTGATAAATCAATAGCAACAAAGATAACTAGAAAAATACCATACATTTGGATATTAAGACAAAAAATCTTAGATAATAACTGATACCAAAGAGAACCACAAAACACCTTAACTAAATTTATAAGATCCAACTTGAGCAGTACTTTTGAGGAAATTAATATCTTGGAATATTAGAAAGACTGAAAATTAATGCATGATCTAAACATTTTTTAAAAAGCATAAACCTAAGGGAAGTAGAAATAATAACCAGCAAAAATAAAGGAAATGGAAAACAAACATACCAGGCCAGGTGCAGTGGCCTGTAATCCTAGCACTCTGTGAGGCCAAGGTGGGTGGATTGCTTGAGCTCACTGGTTTGAGACTAGCCAGAGTAAGAGTAAGACTCCACCCCTAAAAATAGCCGGGCATTGTCGTAGCTGGATGTTGTGGCGGGTACCTGTATTCCCAGCTGCTCAAGAGGCTGAGGCAGAAGAATCACTTGAACCCAAGAGTTTGTGTCAGGAGCCAAATGACGCCAGATGGCCGCCCATCCCCACCCCCGAGAGTGTGCTAACCTTTATCAGATAAGGAGCTGCTTTTCCCTTATCAGACAAGGAGCTGTTCTTCCCAGAGAAGCCATAAAATGTTTCAGACACATTGTTTACATTCCCAGCAGGAGACTGATGCAAGCTTCAGCTCAACCTTAACTCCCGCATTCCTCTGCCCCACCCCTTGTCTTCTCTGAGTCCTTTAAAAACTAACCTATTACCTCCATTAAACAGACCTTGACAAGGAATCTGCTTGGTCTCGCTTCCTCTTTCTCGCCTATTCTTTTCCAGGCTGGGTCCCCCTCGTCCCATGAATAACCGTGTCCCGCAGGACGGGACAAGTTTGAGGTTGCTATGAGCTATGATGCCATGGCACTCTATCAAGGGCGATAAAGTGAGACTCTGTCTCAAAAAAATAAAAAATAAAATAAATAGAAAGTGGGGCTCTGTGGCTCACGCCTATAATCCCAGCACTCTGGGAGGCAAGGCAGGTGGAGTGCCTGAGCTCATCAGTTCGAGACCAGCCTGCACAAAAAGCTAGACCTCGTCTCTACAAAAAATAGAAAGAACTGAGGCAAGAGGATTGCCTGAGCCCAAGAGTTGGAGGTTGCTGTGAGCTATGATGATGCCACGGCACTCTACCCAGGGTGACAGCTTGAGACTCTCTCACAAAACAAAACAATACAAACAAAACACACACACACCAGAGAGCACAAAAAGTATTCTAAGTCAGTTCTCTGAAATACTATGTTGGCAATTTTCTAGAAATATTTTTAGAGGAAAAAAGAGAAAATATTCTAAGAGTATCAGAAATGGCAAAGGTAACAAAAATAAAGGTGATTCAGAAATTAAAAACAAGATTATGAAAAACTTCTTGAGAACTATTTTTAAAACTCAAAAGAAATGGATAAATTCCTAAAAGTATAAGTTATCAACAGAATAAAAAAATTGGAATAATACTATAGTTGTTAAAGAAATTCAATTAGTTGTTGGAAATCCTGTGATAAAGAAAATCACTTGTCCAGAAGGCTTTATGAGTTCTGTTGAATATTCACAATGAACATTTAATTCCAATCTGACAGAAATTTCTAGAGAAAAGACAAAGTGGGAAGACTGCCCAACATATTTTATGAGGCTTGCATAGTCCTTATACCAGAGTCAGAGTAGGACAATATCAGAAAGAAAAATATAAGCCAATGTCACTGAAACATGAATGTGAAAATCTGAACAAAACACAGCAAATCAAATCCAGCAAGTGATACAAAATACAACATACCATGTTTATCCTAGGCAGGCCGAGTTCAGTTTAGCTAAAGATAACAGGTTAATGTAACACAATATGTACATGTACTGAAAGAGTAAAATGATATGATCATCTCAGAAAAACAAAACCTCCATTCATGATTAAAAATTGTTGAACCCAGGAAGAGAAAGGAACTGTCATAACATGGTAAAGGAAAACAACAACAAAAAAACTCTACAGTTAACATTAAATAATGTAACACTGAAGGTATTCTCTGTAATATTAGGAGTAAGACAAAGTTGCCAGTTACTACATCTTTAATTTAACACTAAATCAGAGGTCTCAGTGAGTATACAGAAAGGCACAAAAAGGAAATAAAAGGTATACAAATTGATAAGCATGAGAAAAAACTGATTTTTATTTACAGATTATATATCTGCAAATAAAAACCCTCGAGCTGTATACATACAGATTAGTGGTTGTAATAGGGTTAAATAAATTGTGGGATATAAAATGAAAATGTGGTAGAATCTCTGTAAGTTGACCACCCATGGGACTGTAACAAACTGGTCAACATACAGAGGTGGCCAACATAAGGTACTAGGCCTGGTGTACTGATACATACATGTGGTGCATGTCCAGTCTATGAAAATTAAGTCAACTTAAGGTGGTGGTCAGTGCAGGGAAGTGGTCAACTATGGAGGTACTACTATACAAAAATTAAACAGTACTGGTATGGTATGCATTGTGTCCCCCCAAAATCACATATTGAAATTCTAATGGCCAATAATTCAGAATGAGACTACATTTGAAGATAGGGTCTTTAAAGGTAATTAAGGTTAGGTGAAATCACTTGAATGGGTTCTATCCACTATGACTGGAGGAGAAATAGAGGAAGAAGCATGTGAAGACACATGAAGAAGATGGCCATCTACTAGGAAGAAGAGAGGTCCTCAGAAGAAACCAGCCCTGCTGACAATTTAATCTCAGAGTTCTAGCCTTCAGAACTAGAAGCCATCCAGTTTGTGGTACTTATTATATAGGACATACAAATTAGTACACATACATGTATAAAAAACCATCTTCCCAGAAGTTTTTTTCTATAGTTTTATGAGATTAAGTTATAGACATAATGCTCCTTATCCTTAAATACTTCAGTGTGTATTTTCCAAGAACAAGGATATTTTCTTATATACCTAAAGAAAGTACAGTTATCAAATTCAGGCAATTAAACATTGATACAATACCATTTACCTAATCCATGGTCTATATACAAATTAACTTTACATTTTTAGAAATTTCTCAATGTACTTAATTACAGCTAGCTAAAGAAAGAGCAAACATAGATGTAAAAGAGTAGTTCATCAGTGAAGTAATAGGTTAGCTTTACCTTTACAGGTAGCCTACTGGGTTGTTTCAGGACTATTTTGTATACAATAAAAATGAGGATGATGATAGTAACTACACCTCATCGAACTGTTTTGAGCATTCAGTGAGTTGCTTAGGACACTAAGCACATAGTAAACACCGTATTACTATTCTAGTATTCTGGCCTCATTATTTTCACTTACCCTCATGTAATCTATGATCTGGCTATACTCAACTACTTCTCTAGCCATATCTCTATGTATGTTTTTTCCCTTATGCTTGGAATGTTTTCTCACTGTCTGGAGAACGTCTATTCACTGAGATTTAGCTCTCCAAGAAGCCACATTTGATCAATTTAATCATTTGGGCACCACTGCCCTATGCATTCCTGAAACCTAGGTACATTTCCATATAAACCACTAAACTATATGTCTTCAATTCTAGATTATGAGTTTGGGTGCAAATTTTTTCTTATTTTATTCATGTCATCAGAACTTAGCAATCAAATATTTGCTAAGGAAATTAAATATTTGAAACAAAGAATGTAGTTAAGTTCAAGTTGAGTATTCCTTATCTGAAATTCCTGGTACCAGTAATGCTTCAATGTTTTTTTGATTTCTTAATATTTGGATTATATGCTTAACAGTTGAGAATCCCACATCCAAAAGTCCAAAATGAGTGAGTATTTCCTTTGAACCTCATGTCAATGCTCAAAACATTTCAGATTCTGGAGCATTTTGTTTTTGTTATTATTGTTGTTTTGAGACAGAGTCTTACTCTGTTGTCATAGCTAATTTTTTTTTCTATTTTTAGTAGAAATGTAGTTTTGCTCTTGCTCAGGCTGGTCTTGAACTCCTGAACTCAAGCAGTTGACCTAGAATGCTAGGATTCCAGGTGTGAGCCACTGCACCCAGCCAGATTCTGGAGCATTTTGGATTTCAGATATTTGGATGTGGGATGCTCAACTGGTAAATAGCAATGGAAAAAAATTTATCCAAGTTTTGGTTTAGAGACTTATATTTACAACATTTGTCATTATAAACAAGTTCTCATCTTTGGAGTTCAAAATTATTTACTTTTATCAAAATATACTACAACAAATGATGACAAATTTCAGTAGCTTGTGACTGGGCTTATTATACTTAATCATGTATCAGTTTAGATAGACATATTCATCCAATTTCTGCCATTCCCCACTCTCTACCGTCTAAGCAATATATGCTATAGGAGTAGAGGCATTTCTGTTCTGATGGCAGATGAGGAAGAAGCTTTGCTGGCTGATGGCTATTTTAGGATAGAAAAGAATATATGACAGAATACATCATGTATTTATATTACCTAAGTAAAACAAAAGACCTATGCCTTTTGGCCAGAATTTCTCTAAACTTTGAATAAATTATACTTGGTTATTAGAGATACTAAGAACTTCAATTAAGCTTACAAATAATATAAAATACCTGCATCATCATACGTCTTCTAACTGTGTCAAATGGATAAGAAAGTATTCCAGAACATGTAGTCACAACTTGAGCAATGACAAAGGAGACAAGAAATGGGGTTTCCTTTGGTTTTGGTAATAAGCCCTAGAAGAGAAAAATGTATAAAGTACACATCCAAATATCTACAATATTCTAAATTCTTAACTGAAAGATAATTTTTTTTTTTGAGACAGAGTCTCAGTCACTCTGGGATTGAGTGCTCTGAAATCATAGCTCATAGCAACCTCAAATTCTTGGGCTCAAATGATCCTCTTGTCTCAGCCTCCCAATTAGCTGGGACTACAGGCACTTGCCACCATGCCTGCCAAGTTTTTTTATTTTTAGTAGAGACACGGTCTCACTTTGCTCAGTCTGTTCTCGAACTCCTGAGGTCAGGCAATCTACCTTTTTATAAATTTATTAAAGACACAATTTTGCTTAAAGTGCAATAAAACAATTGGATTTAGTAGTAAATAAATTAAAAAGGGAAATGGCACACATGACTATACTTCAAAGGCATATTTGAAGTAATAAAGTTTATTTGCTATTAAAAGGGATTTGTTTTTAATGGCACCTAAAACTAGGGATGATAGGAGCCACTGACTAAAATATCTTTTCCATGATTTTCCCCCTAGAACTGAAAAAAAGTGAAAGAATGCCGATTATTAACAGATGACACTTGATGAGCAGCTTTAAAGCTCCAAGCTAATGAACAAATGCTCCTAAATTTCACAACTTAGTTCGGGTGGTAATAGAGTAAGGCAGAGGGAGAATACATAGAAATTTTTCTGTGATTAATTAAATGTATGTGAGATCTGTAACTTCCATGAACATATCTGTCTAAAAAATACACTGAAAACTATAAGTAATCTGTGTAGATCACAATAATAATGACATTCAACTATATTTATTCCAATGAGGGAGAGCGGAGATAATATATAGATCAATTTTAAAATTTCTTTCAAGTTTTAATCTTATTTAATAAATAACACTGATATTAATTTCATTGCTTCCTTTTGGAAGTAGCTAATGTGATTAAGAACATGAGACTTTTTGCTTGACATTTAACAAGTACATTATTTACCTACTACCATTCTTAGGCTATTTATCTTATAAATGAAAATTTTAAAAGCTATCCCAGAATACTGCAAATATATAAAGTACTTAACAAGATGGTCAGAACTAAGTAATAGTTCAAAAAATAGTAGACATTATTACAATTTGTCTTTTTCCTACCTATAGAAATGCTATTAAAATTTAAGATAAAAAGGCAGGCTGGGTGTGGTGGCTTATGCCTATAATTCTAGCATTCTGGGAAGTGGATGTGGGAGGATCACTTGAGATCAGAAGTTCAAGACCAGCCTTAGCAAGTGAGACTCTATCTCTAATGAAAATAGAAAAAATGAGCCAAGCATGGTGGCACACGACTGTAGTTCCAACTACAGGGGAGGCTAAGGCAGGAGAATTGCTTGAGCCTAAAGTTTGAGAATGCAGTAAGCTATGATAATCACCTACTGCACTCAACCCTGGATGACAGAACAAGACTCTGTCTTCAAAAAACAAAACAAAACAAAACAAAACAAAACAAAGGGCAAATTGGAGAACAGCGTGGAGCATATATTGAAGAATCTAGTAAATAATCAAGCTATAGCAGCATTTAATTAATTACTCCCCAAAATAATGATAGTAAATTGATTATTTTCATGTAAAATGTGATAATAGTTAATGTAAAATCAGAAAAAACTGTTAGAAGATTCTTTTTTATAATTTAAATCTGATTTAATTAACGTCTTTTCCATCTTCAACAAAAGGATAATGGTTTGATATATGTTTTATATCTATAAAGTCAGATCTATAATACAGTTATAATTTAATTAGTTATGGCAAAATCGTAAATAAACAGAATTTCATGTCTTTCTTATTTCATCATTTATTTGGATTTCTATAATTAAAGGTAATATCTGCTTAAAATTCTACTAATTAGAACAAAAAAAAGAAAGAAACCATTTAATATGTCTAAGTTAATGCCCTCAAATTACCTTAACTGTGTCATAAGCTCCAAAATAAGAGGCTCGGTATACAATGATGCCCTGAACTGAAACACCAAACCCTTGGTATAAACCAACAATTCCATCTGATTTTGCAATTTTCATAATACAGTCACCTAAACCCTTGAATTGTCGCTCTTCAGGACCTAAAACAAAACCATTTAAAATCTATTAGCAACATTACACGTCAAGTAAACATTTTAACTAAAGTAAATTAATTATTTATACATTTTAACTATCTGGAACTGCCAACTAGAAATCTTTCCAACAAAGAAGGCACAAAAATCTTCCCATCATCTAATCAGGATTTCAAGTATCATTTTAAAAGAAATTAACTAAAAATATTAGTCACTTATAAAAAACATTCTAATTCAATCAATCTGACATAAAACATTTCATTAAAATTACCATAAGTTACTACCGTGTTTCCCCGAAAATAAGACCTACCCCCAAAATAAGCCCTAGAAGGATGTCTATGCATTCGTTAAATATAAGCCCTACCTGGATAATAAGGCCTAGTGATGGGTGTGGCTATGCAATGTATCTGCACAGCCACACCATGCATTTCGGTGTGGACATCCCCTAAAAATAAGCCCTAGTGTGTCTTCTTGAGAAAAAATAAATATAAGACAATGTTGTATTTTCAGGGAAACACAGTTGTGATTCAAAAAATACTTAGAAGTAAAACACCCTAGAACTGTGGAAAGGCAAAAAGACAAAGCTAAAAACTAGTAAGTTTAGTTGACTTTAGTTTAGTTGACATTTTAGATGAGGTGTCACATTTTTCTAGTGTTTGCCAATTTTGTTATTTTCCCTTGACCTAGAACCAACCACTTGACAATATTTTAAAACTATTATATTCCTAAAAAAATTTTCCAAATTAACTAAATTCTAATTTTGAGAGGGAAAAAAGAATAAAACTATGGAATTTAAAACAAGATACCTTGAGTTATTTTCACTTTCTTAGCAATAAAATGAATATTTGGATTTTCAGTTAAGCTAACAGATGGAACTCAGATATATATGTTTTTTTGAGATAGAGTATCACTCTGTGACCCTTGTAGAGTGCTGTGGTGTAATAACTCACAGCAACCTCAAATTCTAGGGCTCAAGTGATCCTCTTACCTCAGCCTTTCCAGCCTCCTGACTAGTTGGGACTTTAGGCACCCACTGCCACACTGGCTAATGGGACGCATACTTTTATCCTTACTCAAAATGCCATCTCTTCCAAGACTTTTCTGATCACTTATCTAAAATGGGTATTGCTGTATTCTAATTTTTTTCCTAGCATTTATCATTTAAGTGACACTATATTTTAGCCATTTATTCATTTTGTTTTTACTGTGTTCTCCACTATATATTAAGCATGAGCTCCCTTTCTTTCTTTCTTTTTTTTTGAGACAGAGCCTCAAGCTGTCGCCCTGGGTAGAGTGCCATGGCATCACAGCTCACAGAATTCAATTTCTGGGACCACAGGTGCCCACCATAATGACCAGCTATTTTTTGGTTGCAGCCATCATTGTTGTTTGACAGGCCCAGGCTGGATTCGAACCTGCCAGCTCAGGTGTACGTGGCTGGTGCCTTAGCTGCTTGAGCCACAGGCGCTGAACCAATGAGCTCCGTTTCTTATATAAGGGGAGCGCGGTGGTGTGAATATATATGTGTGCATTTATATACACATCCACATGAACACTCACCCATACACACCCTGTAACTGCAGAGGAGCCTGATTCACAGCAGGTACTCAATAAATATTTGTTGACTGAATCTCTGGTCCCTAAAGAAACCCTATTGAAATCATAATAAAGGAACAATTTTTAAGGCCATAAAGGCAAAGAAAAGTACATGATAGGGAATGAAATCCATAGAACTCTGCAAGATGGAAAAGAGAGGAAGGAGGTACCTCATTAAGTAGAGCAGAGAAAGCTGAAAACTATTTTTGTGTAGGAGGAGATACTGTGATGTTTACAAGCAAGCCCCTAGACCTCAATAACCTCAGAAAGACTCAGAAATCAGAGGAACTAAGTAGCGGTACTACTCTTTGGGT